AAGCTTGGAAGACTTTTAAAAGCCCTAATCCACAACATGAACAGTCTTCCAAGCATCCTGAAAAACCCACAGCCAGGAGAAGATAATACAGATGAATGGGGCCTTCTAAGAATCAAATTCCTTTGCACATCCAAATACTTCTCCAACAGGGTAAAAAGGAAAGCCACAGACTGGAAAAGAGTATTTGATAATGACATGTTTGATAAGGGACTTATATCTAGAATTTATAAAATACTCTAGCACAAGAAGAAGATCAAGATAAACAACCCAACTGAAAAACGGGCGCAGGATATGAGCAGACACTTCACCAGAGAAACCATTCAGATGGCAAACACACACATGAAGAAATGCTCAAAATCCCTAGCTCTAAGAGAGATGCACATCAAAACAACTATGAGATATCATCTCACCCCAGTGAAAATAGCAAAATTCAACAAAGCAGCAAAAAACAAATGTTGGCAAGGTTGTATCCTAAAGAAACCAGAACTGCCACCCAAGCAGCTACATGCACATCCATGTTTATTGTTTCATTGTTCACAATAGCAAAGAGATGGAAACAACCCAAGTGCCCATCACAAATGAATGGATAGATAAGCTATAGTATATTTACACAATGGAATATTATGCAGCACTGAAAAACAAGGAATTAATAAAATACAAAATGGATGACCCTGGAGGACATTATACTGAGTGAAATATCTCAGTTACAAAAGGACAAATACTGCATGCCACTGTTATGAAACAGGACTGATATTGGTTTGGGGGAAAACTAAGAAAAGAGGGGATAAATAATGTACACTGCTTAAAAGGAATATATGTTTAGGTATTATTTGCATAACAACAGTCCAGATTAAAAGCTGCATAGTAAAGTGGATAGGGGTGGGGGTGGGGAATTGTACAACAATAAAAGAACTTTTCTTTAATAAATGAACTGGGTGAGAGGTGGGCAGGGAGGAAAATGTGCAACAATGAATGAATGGAAATCCAAGTTCTCTATAAACTTTTCATTATCCCTTTGCAAGTGACTCATTATTATTCTTGCTCTTCTTTTACTATTCTATCCTTATCTTTTAATTTGGAGAATTTGACTATAATATGTCTTGATGTTTTTCTTTTTGAGTCCGTTCTATCTGGTGCTTGTTTGTTGAGCTTCTTGGATGTGGATTTCTTTATTCTTGAAAATACCTGGGAAATTTTCTTCTAGTACCTCTTCCACAGTTTTCTCAGTGATTTCCCTGTCCTTCTCATATACTGGAATTCCAGTCATATGATTTTAATGTTGTCTTCATTTTCTTTACATCTCATCTCTAATTTTTCTTCTAGTATATTTCCATTGAGGCTCTTATCTTCCAACTTACTGACTCTCTGTTCCATCTCTTCCGTTCTACTTTTGTTTTTTCAATATAGAATGTTTCATAAATTTGTATGTCATCCATGCACAGGGGTCATGCTAATCTTCTTTGTATCATTCCAATTTTAGTATATGTGCTGTCAAAGAAAGCACCTGTAATACTTTTTTGTCCCTCTAGCATATTAGATAGTTCTGTCATTTCAGGCTTAATATTCTGGTTTGCATTTGCCTGCCTTTCTTTTATTTCCAGTACTGTCTTGGCTGTACCCTCTCTACCTTGTGATGATTTTTAAAGTTCTTGTACACCATTATCTATCGTTTTATTCTTTCTTCCATCTTTTACATGTTCTCCCATAGTTTTTCAAGTTGCTCCTCAATATATTTCTTCTGATTCCCTGTCTCTTGAACATTTTCTTTCTTAATGGATTTCATTGTTTTCCCCCCATAATATGTACCTTCTTCTGTAGATATTCAAATAAGTCTGCATCAATGTATTTATTCTGATTCTCTGTGTCTGGGGAATTCACTGGATCTGCAATATGCTCTGCTTTTTTAGAAGAGTTATTTTGGTCCTCCCCTGTCCCTGCCCATGATGTTTGAGGCAGCTTGCTGCTTTCTTGGCATTATGTGAATCTTTTTTTGGTAGCTATTAGGCTGTTATAAATGTATAATGTCGTAGGGGAGGGCAATGTTCTATGAAGGACCTATATGTCAGTGCTCCCCTTTTGACACAAGAGCTGCAGGTCCGCGGTCCAAAGTGGGGTGAGTGTTGTCCTCCAGAAATCATGGCTGGTCCACCCCTGTTCCTCTTTGGCTAAAGAAATCCCGAGCCTTCTCTGCATGTTGCCATCAGTAAAGTGCAAGGGCAGCAATATGTGACTGTAAATACACAGGCTGATCAGCACTATAGACCATTTGTTGAAGGCAGGCATCCCAACATGAAGAGAGAGTTATTGTGCCTCTTTAAAAATGAGAAATAGAACTACCATTGGCCCAGCAACACCTCTACAGATTATATAATAGAAGGAAATGAGAGTTGGGACATGAATTGGTATATGTTCACCAACGTTCATTGTATCACCATTCATAATAGCAAAGAGATGAAAACAACCAAATTACCCATTAATGGACAAATGGAAAAACTAACTATGGTAAAAAGAAATACAACGAAATCAATGTCATGCAACTCTTAAGAACACTCAAGAATCTGATAATATCTTCTACAGATAAACCTGGAGGACATCACGCTGAGTGAAATGATGTCATCACAAAAGATAAATATTAGAGGACCTCTGGTGGCCTAGTGGCAAGGAACTGCAACTACAATCCCAGAGGCGCACGGTTCACATCCACCAGATGCTCTGCCAAGGAAGGAGGGGCAATCTCCTCCTGTACCAGTCAGATCTGATTTGATGGTACACTCACACAAAAATAATGATTCAAAAAAAGATAAATATTGTGAGTTCATGACTTGTAAAAAGGAAATATTTATACAGTGAAGGAAATAGTCTTAACAGTTACCAGGGATAAGAAGTCTTAACTACAGAATGCAACATATGAGCCACAGAAGACTCACTTATTCACTGTTATCAAGTTGAAATAAACTCAGATCTATTTTCCAGCAAGTTTTCAGACCTGCAGATTGCCCATCTTCTTCCTGAGGGGTGGCTGGTGGATGCTAAGTGCCAGAGAGGAGTGGCCTTAGAGTAGCAACTCATCATCTTATAGACATTGAATGTAGCAAAAGACAATATATATAAAAAAGAGGTGATCAGTACAATAGCAATAAGAAAAAGATATGGAGACGTGCCTACAAGTTACAAACAGCATTGAAACAGATGAGGGAGAAAACCATTTAAAAGGGATATGTGATTAGGTATTATTGTCGTGACAGGAGTCTAGAATGAAGGCTGCATAGTGGAGTGGGCCTGGGGGAAGGGATTGTAAAACAATGAAAGAATTTTACTTTTCAAAGAGAAAAGTGTACTGGTGGGCAGAGAGAAAAGTACAACAATGAATAAATGGAAATCCAAAGTCTCTGTAAATTTTCATTAAAATGAATAATACAAAAATTTTTAAAAAGGTCTATCCTCATCTGGATTAAAGGAAAGTGAAGAAAATCAAAGAGTAGCAGACAAAGTGAAAAAAAAAAATGACAACTAGTGAACTATATGAACTTCATTCTGTACAAGCTAGAGACCAGAAGAGCGATATGGTGCTTAACTAACTACCTTTGCTGAACACTGTGAATGGTATCACGATAGAAGTTCCAGCAAGAAGAATGTGGAATAAAACTCAAGTTCACAGAAAAAGTCCATTTGATAGAGACTGACAGATCTCCTGTGACCTTGACCCTTAGCCACCCCTCACATCTGCAACTGAAATCACCTCTGTGACTCAACCTTCAGCCACAAGACAAACTAAGGTTTATAAAGTTTTCAGAAATATAAGAAGAGACACACTCAATAGAACAATCAAATAAACAAAACCAAAGGGGCTACATTTGCCCAGGGTTAAAGCTCAGAAAGTAGGAAGGGATCTGCAAGAAGAATGGAAACGTGGAACAATAGGAGGTGGAAAGAGTTGTTATGATGTGAGAATCGTGTTCATTAGAGCAAGAAGTAATGTACATGGATTGTTCAATGGAGAAAGAATTTTCTCTGCAAACTTTCATTCAACTCAGAATAAAGATTTCCTAAAACAAAATGCCATCACGCCTTGGCATGTCTTTGGAATGTCACATCCAAGCAAAATCAATGTACCCTTTTTGACGTGTGTTTTACTCTGACCCACAGTCCTTTGGTTCTCTCGTTAGACTAGAAGCTGCTTTGAGCCCTGGGCCATCACTGTGCTGCTCAGGACAAGTGCTGACAGCTGCTTGGTGACATATGTTCAGTGAATACGTGGTTGAGTTGCTCAGTTGTTAAGTGCTCCTTGCACATGAGGTATGAGCAAGATTTGAGAAAGTCCAACATGAGAGACAAAAATGTCTCTCAAGGCTCTGACCTCCAGGCCCTACACACATAGGTCCCTTGGGGTGCAGACATCAGCTGGAGATATCCTAGGGATCACACTTACATGTATTAAGACTTTTAGTCATACTTTAACCTGACCATCTGTGCCATAATGTAAATGATAGAACAGTTCAGTGGGACATGAATATATTTATGAATGAGTAAATACATACTTACTTGGGATGTGTGCTCAGGGATATTTTTCTTACTGGGATGCCTATCAGAGTACTTTGTCGTAGGAATAGAAGAAGATACAGAATTCCCCAAACTTACTGAAAGGCTTTTGCCATGCCTTCTCTGGGTAGTTTCCTCCTATCTCCCTATTGACACTTTATTTAATTCCAACCACCACCGTGGCCAGGAAGAGCCAATGAGATCTTAGATTTCCCCTAGTGCTGTCTCTCTTTTAGCACCAAGTATTGGATATTAATTAAGAAGGTTCAGCATCTATGCAGTAAAGATGTCTTAGAGACTTGGTCCTTTTTACTCAACTGGTGCAGAAGGAACTAAGTTCAGATAACTGAAGTTGTCTGCAGGTGTGATATTCCCAGTAGTTAAAGCCGTAGGGACCTGGAGCCTACTCTCTCAGCCCTCTGGCTATTCTGCTGTAGGTTGTCCCTGCGTGGGGGTCTCACCGTGGGTATTTCTGTTTCATCCATGTGGAGAGGAGCTCTTCACTGAGTGCGTCCTCCAGTTGCTGCATCTTCCCTGGATTGGGCAGGATGAATATGGCTGTGGCATTGCCCACATAGTTCATGAAGAGCACCGTACTGGACAGCTCCTCGGATGTGTAGAAGTCAAACATGCCCTGGCGAATCATCATGGGCACTGTGACTGTGGTCTCCTTATCCACATAGAAGCTCTCATTTTGAGTGTGCTCTTCTTTGAAGGGCTTCTCCCATTTGCCTAGAGACAAAAAAGGAATTAGTTTGGGCTGAGGCCAAGGCTTAGATCAGGGTTGTGGTCTAAAGGCTCAAAGTAATCTTTGATCTCCCCTTTGAAATACTTCTCTCTGACTCTCGGTGTCTCTCTGTACGTTGTTGTTGTTGGGTGCCATTGAGTTGAGTATGACCCATAGCGACCCTATGGCCAACAAATCTGAACCCTGCTGTATCTTGTGCCATCCTCACACTTCTTGACACTTGAGAGCCCATTGTGGCAGTCACCGTGTCAATCCGCCTGGTTGAGGGTCTTCCTCTCCTTTGCCAGTGACCCTCCACCTTTTCTGGCATCATGCCCCTCTCTCAGGAATAACCCCTCCTAGCAACATGCCCGAAGTAAGTGAGGTGAAACATCATCATCCTTGCCTCTAAAGAGCACTCTGGCTGCACTATCTCCAAGATATATTTGTCTGTTCTTTTGGCCATCCACAGAATATTCAGTGCTCTTCTCCAACACAATAGCTCAAAGGCATCAATTCTTCTGTCATTCTCATTCATTGTCTAGCTCTTAGATGCATAGTGAGTAATTGGAAAGACCATTGCTTGAATCAGACACACTTTAGTCTTCAAACTGACATATTTACTCTTCAATAATTTAGAGAGATCCCAAATTACAGAGTTTCTCAGTGCAATGCATCTCCTGATTTCCTGATGCTGGTGCCAAGGGTGTTAATTGTGGGTCCAAGTAAGATGAAGTTGTTGACAGTTTCAATCTCTTCTCCACCCATCATGATGTTACATATTGGTCCAGTGATTAGAATCTCTGTTTTCTTGGTATTGAAATGTAATCCATACTGAAGGCTGCATTTTGCAATAAGTGCTTCAAGTCCTCCTCACTTTCAGCAAGCAAGGTTGTGTCATCTGCATAATGCAGGTTATTGATGAGTCTTCCTTTGATTTTGATGCTATATTCCTCTTCTTAGAGTCCAGATTCTAGAATAATTTGCTCAGCATACAAATTGAGTAGGTATAGAGAAAGAATATAGCCCTGATGCACTCCCTCCTTCATTTTAAACTACATAGTGTTTCCTTGCTCTCTGTTCACACAACAGCTTACTGGTCTTGGTATAGGCTTCATATGAGTGCAATTAAGTGCTCAGGGATTCCAATTCTTCTCAGTATTAATCATAACTTGTTATGATCCACACAGTCAATGCCTTTGCATAGTTAAAAAACATAAATAGATATTCTTCTAGTATTCTTTATTTCATCCAGGATCCATCCAACATCAGCAAAGATCTTCTTAGTGTCAAGGCCTCTTCTAAACCCTGATTTAAATTCTGGCAGTTCCCTAAATATCTAATATTCTTGCCATTTGAACGACCCAGGGCTTATCTCTCTGTATAAATGGGCAAAAGTTAAATTAATCCAGCTATTGACAGGCTCTTGGTCAGACAGGTAGTCCGAGACTAGAGAAATATTCCCTGTGGTCATCACAGAGACTCAGAGATTCTCACCTGACTGGGAAGACGCTAGGGCTTTATTTACAAGTATCTGTTCAAAGATAGTGAATGTGCTTGACATTTGTGTCTCTGTGAGTTTGGTTTGGAAGTGACCAGTAAAAGTTACTGGGTGAAATCTGACACTTCCCAAGTCATATTACAGCACCACTTTACCATGAAAGTGGACAATCCAACTAGAATTCAAAGGAAATGTCCTTTTTGTTTCTGTTCGGATTTTTGTTGTGATTTTAGTAAAAATTGACAAAGAGATTGGTTTTCATTCACATGCATTTTCCTCTCTCCCCCAAATCACTTTGTAATGCACACCCTGCTTTAGATTATCTTTCCTATGTCTATAATCATCTACTCATTTTGGATAATATTTCCCTTTACCTGTTTCAGTGTTTATTATCTATCCATTCTTATTCTGCTTTCTTTCCCCAACCTCCACTGCACTCATCTTATGGCTCTAACAGTAGTCTCATACAATATTTGTCCTCTAGTGACTGAGATATTTCACTCAGCATTATGTCTTCCAAACTCATCCATAGTGTTTCACGATTTCATTGTTTTAAAGGGCTGTGTAATATTCCCGCTGCGTAGATGCTCCACTGTTTCTCTATTGATTCTTTGATGGGCACATGGGCTGCTTCCATCTTTTAACTATTGTGAACAATGTTGCAATAGACATGGATGTGCATCCATCTGTTTGTGTTATAGCTCTGATTTATCTCGGATATATTCCATATGTGTAGGCTGGGTTTAGAAGAGGCCATGGCACTAGGGATATTATAGCTAATGTTACATGAATCTTGGCTGGAAGCAGAGAATACCAGAAGAATGTCTGTCTGTGTTTCATTGACTATGCAAAGGCCTTTTACTGTTTGGATCACAACAAACTGTGGCTGCCTCTGAGAAGAATGAGAATCCTTGAATATTTTATTGTGCTTATGCGAAACCTATACTTGGACCAGGAGGGAGTTGTCAGAACAGAGCAAGGAAACATTGCATGGTTCAAAATCAGGAAGGGTGTATGGCAGGGATTGGTCCTAGCTCCATACTTTTTGAACCTATATGCAGAATAGATCATCCAGGAGCTGGAGTATATGAGGAGGAATGTGGCGTCAGGATTGGAGGAAGACTTATCCACAAGCTGCATTATGCAGATGACACAACCCTACTTGCTGAAACTGGGGAGAACCTGAAGTACGTGCTGCAGAAGGCCACGCACTGCAGCCTTAAATATGGATTGACGCTCAACATCAAGAAAACAAAGATTCTCACTGCTGGGCCAATTGGCAGCATTATGATAGATGGTGAAGAGATAGAGATTGCTTATAGTTTGCTTAGCTCCACAATCAACACTTTCTTTTCACTCTGTTGGAGAATTTTTTAAAATAAAACCCTTTTTATGTACACAGAAATTTGATTTTTAGAAGGTCTCATTCATCTATTTTATCATCTTCTGGTTATGGAGGATTTGTTATGTTTGAAAGTTTACCCATGCCATAAATTAGGGATTTTATATTAATTCTTGTTTTTTCTTTGATAATCTTGATAGTTTATTGTTTTCTCTCTAAGTCTCTAATTCACCTTTTGTAAATAGTGTGAGGTATGGTTCTTGTTTCAGTTTTCTGCAGTTGGATGTCCAACTTTGCCAGGACCCTTTGTTAAAGAGGCTCTCATTTTATACATTTAATTGAGTCTGTCTGCTTGTAAAAAATAAGTTGACCATAGGTAAAAGTGTTGAGTCTCTGGGTTCTTGTTTCTAATCCATTGATTGATGTGTCTGTTGCTGTACCTGTACCATGCTGTCTTGATTACTGTGATTGTAGTAGGCTTTGAGGTGGGAGTGTGATGCCTCCTACATTATTTTTCTTTTTCAGTAGTGTTTTACCTAATCAGGGTCTCTCTCTTTTCTAGACAACATTGGATATTGCCTTTTCCATTTCAAGAATGGCGTAAATATCTGTCTTGGAATTGCATTGAACTTATAGATTGCTTTAGTAGAATTGGTATTTCCACAATATTGAGTCTTCGTATCCATAAGCATGGTATATTCTTCCATTTATCTAGCTCTTTTTGTTTCTTGTAGTAGTGTTCTTTTACTTTTCTTTATATGTCTTTTGTGTCTCTACTTATATTTTTTTTCTAAAGTATTTCATCTTGTGGTTAGCTATGGTTACTGGTACTGTTTTTTTTATTTCCTTTTCTATGTTTTCTTTGCTAGAGAAATTCTGCTTATTTTTATATGTTGATCTTATATCATACTACTTTGCCTAATTGGCCAATCATGCCTGATTTTTTATTTTTGGCTTAGGGTTTTCTAAGTATACTTAAGTATACTTATCTATCTTATCTATACTTAAGTATCATATCTTCTGCATATGTTGTTGTTATGTGCCGTCGAGTCATTTGCGACTCATAGCGACCCTATGTACAACAGCCCTAAACCCTGATCTATCCTGTGCCAATCTCATTGCCTCTGACACACCCATCCCGAGTACCCCAGTCACTGAATCAATCCACCTCATAGAGGGTCTTCCCCTCCTGCGCTGTCCCTCAACTCTGCCCAGCATGATGTCCCTCTCTAAAGACCTGTCTCTCCTTACAACATGTCCAAAGTATGTCAGGCGAAGCCCCAGAATCCTTGCCTCCAAGGAGCAGCCTGGTTTAACCCTCTCTAGGATGAATCTATTTGTTTTCTTGGCAGTCCATGGTACATTCAATACTCTTCTCCAGCACCACAGCTCAAAGGCATCAATTCTCCTTCTATCCTCCCTAGTCATTGTCCAAATCTCTGATGCATAACAAGTGATTGCAAAAACCATGGCCTGTATCAGGCGCACCTTAGTCTCCAGAGAGACACTGTTGCTCTTGAGTACTCTAGGGAGGCCCTTAACCGCATATATATAGAGACAGTTTTATCATTTCTTTGCCAGTGTGGCTGCCTCTTATTTCCTTCTCTCCCCTATTGCTCTTTCTGGGTCTTACAATGCAATACTGAGTAAGAGTGGTGATAGTAGACATCCTTGCCTGGTCCCTATTCTCAAAGGGAATGCTTTTCATCTCCATTGAGAGTGATGTTGGCTATTGCTTTAGAGTATATACTCTTAATTATGTTTAGGAAAATCCATTCTATTCTTATTCTATTGAATGCTCTTATTAGAAAAGGTTATTGAATTTTGTCAAAAGATTTTTCCACATGAAAAACTACGTTCCACAAATATGAAAACCTAGAAGAAATGGACAAATACTTAGAAAGCCACAACCTATCCAAACTGACACAGACTGAAGTTAGACACTTGAACAGAGCCATCCCAAAACAAGAAAGTGCTGCTAGGAATGTATCTCAAGGAAATAAAATCTCAGGCTGCTCTGGAGGACTTGGCAAAAAATAAAGCCCTAGGAATTGATGGAATATCGATTGACATATTTCAACAAACAGATACTGCCCTGGTTGTGCTTATCAAATTGTGCCAAGGAATTGGGAGGGCAACTACTTATCCAACTGACTGAAAAA